AAAGTATATTACATTAGCTTTAATTTAAGATATACAGAGTGATCGAAATCTGGTAAGACTGGTTATTTTTTCAGTAACTATTGATTATTTTAAATTTTTGTAAAAAGAAAAATTATTAAGTTTATAAAACTCTACAATAATATGAAGTTAAATAAATTTTTTTTATCACTCCAGGGATAAAAATGTATATTTATAATTTTTTTAAATGGGAACCACTATTTTTGATTTGATAATATGATAGAAAAAAAATTATAAACAATTTTGTTTAAAGATTTTGAGTTCCAGAAAAAATATTGTTATTTATTACGTTTCATAATATCGGTGACAGTGCAACCGGCATTTTTGTTAGATCCTTTAGTCTTACAAAACCATAGACTTAGCTATTAATAATACACCGAAACCCGGTTTGGATCTATTATTGCTATCACTCATTTAGTGCCTAGTACATTTTTATAGCTAATTTAACTATCATAACTTAATCAATAAAATTTGGCTTATGCAACAGCAAATAAAAATAATGACTTCTGTATTTAATACAATAAAATTACAATAGAAATTTGGCCTAAAATCACTTAACTTTAACAAGCTGTAACGGACGAACGGTTAATCGGATAAAAAAAATTATAAGAACAAATTTGTTTGTAATTTTTTTCTATCATATCATAAAATTATAAATAAGGGTTTTTATCCTTGAAGGGACGAAACAAATAATGGTTTGATTACATATTATTGTAGAGTTTTTTGAACTTGATATTTTTTTTCTATAAAATCTAAAATTCTCAATAATTTCTGAGAAAATGAGTGACTTACCAGATTTCAATCACTCTGTTTATAAAAGTGTCAGACTTTCCGGAAAATTTTCAAAAGTTAAGTTGAAAAAGTAAATTTTTTGTATTTTAGCTTCGATGCGAAGCAGAGAATGTATTGGTTTTACTATGATGTGTTTTTTTTGTGTCTGTTACCACTTTTTTCTCAGCTCTCACCGAACGGATTTTTTTCAACGATACGTTAAAAGATCACAAATCGTATCTAGTCGAACACATTACCCTTAAAAATTGAAAAAATTTCCCTCGTTCCCGGTAAATGGGGGAAACCTCCAAGAAAATTACAAATTTAACAAAATCACTAATTTTCGAAATTTTTAAAATTTTTTTTACTAAAAACTGCCGTAACTTTTTCAAAAATAAACATGAATATAATTATTTTTTATAGATATTTTATGTCTTTACCTATTATTTGGTATATTTTTTTTGTAAATCTGACCCTTTATCTGCTCACAGGGGGGGATTTAAAATGACAACTTTTTCAACTTAACTTTTGAAAATGTTCCGGAAGGTCTGACACTTTTATATATATCTTAAATTAAAGCTAATGTAATATACTTTAATTAAAAAAAAAAAAAATTTGACCTCTGGACTTGTCTTCGTCGTGAAAATGGCTACCGAATGCTATTTTTGTGTGAAAATTCTAAATTTTATATTTTACATTTTTTACTTTAAAATGCTATAACTTTTTAAAAAATGTATGGATCAACACAATTTTTTTATGAGAAATAATATTGTTTAATAATCCCTTTTTCATTCAGGATATTATAAGAAAATAGCAGATCATGTAGCATTTGGAATAGTCCATCAATTTTTTAAAATTAAACACTATCTAAAAATTTGCATCGAAGCGTTTTTTTTTTATAGTGATTTTAATCACTATCAGATATCATTATACTTGATCCAACTATGCCACATCACCACTGTGCCGCGACCCCCCTGTGCTGGGTATTTTTTTATTAACTTTGATGTCTGTTTTCACAATAAATATAAAATAAAGTCCGAAATTTTTTTTTTCCGTAATAAAGTATATTACATTAACTTTAATTTAAGATATATAATATATATCTTAAATTAAAGTTAATTATATATTATATATAAGTGTCAGACTTTCTGGAACACTGTCAAAAGTTAAGTCGAAAAAGTTCTACTTTCTATATGCAATTTTTAGATTTGAACCCCCCTCAATAAAAAAATTGTATTGATCCATACACTTTTCAAAAAGTTATAGCATAATAAAGTTTAAAATGTAAAATACAAAATTGAGAATTTTCACACAAAAATAGCATTCCTTAGTCATTTTCACCATAAAGACAAAATAAAAGTCCAAAATTTTTTATTTCATAGTAAAGTATATTACATTAGATTTAATTTAAGATATATATAAAAGTGTCAGACTTTCCGGAACACTTTCAAAAGATAATTTTTGGTGAAAAAGTTGTCATTTTTAATCCTCCCCTGTGGGCAAGTTTAGAGTCAGATTTATAAAAAAATATACCAAATGATAGGTTAGAACATTATGCATCTATTAAAAAAAAAAATTATTTTGATTTGTTCAATTTTTAAAAAGTTATGGAATTTTTAAGAAAAAAAATTGAAAAAATTTCGAAAATTAGCGATTTTTAAATTTGTAATTTTTTGGAGGTTTCTCTCATTTACGGGGAACGAGGGAAATTATTTTAATTTTTGAGGGTAATTTCTTCGACTAGATACGATTTGTGATCTTTTGACGTATCGTTGAAATACATCGGTTCGATGAGAGCTGATAAAAAGTGGTAACAGGCACAAAAAAAAACACATAGTAAAACCAATACGTTCTCAGCTTCGCATCGAAGCTAAAAAGCAAAAAAAAGAAAAAAGGTCGTTTCTTTTATTACGCATAATAATAATGGCGCATATAATTAATTCGGCGAATGCTACTATGGTGTGGTCCAGATGGTGTTTATTAATTCAATTACGGTTAGAACAATTATTATTTTGTTTATAGTCAGTTAAACGCCAACAGAAACAATGTATTAATATAAATAATTTTAAAATTACCAATTTCGATGTTCCAAAAACATAGTAAAATGAAATTATACAGTTGTTTAGTACGAATAGAGTCAACAGAATATTTAACGTTATCGCCATAATGTTAAGATAATTTTTAAATTTTTTTGAAGTATGAAAAATATTTTAAATTAGTACTCTATTCAATCAACCAAAAAAAAAATTTGTATGCTTCGAAACGGTATTGATTTGTATATATATATATATGTATGTATGTATGTATGTATATATATATATCTATGTATGTATGTATATATGTATATATGTATGTATGAATGTAACATTTATTCATCGTTGGATTTGTTTTTTATAGAAAAGTTGACTTCATTTTTATTTTTGGTTTTTGTGATTTATTAATCTCTGTCAAGCTTTTTTTCTGTACTTACAAACACGGCATTGAGTTTGTAAACCATAGAATTTCGTTTAATAAGGGGAGGGGGTTGGTGGGTAATTAACCCTTGCAAGGGTTCTGTCAAATTGTAATCATTCGAGTAACGGAGATGTTCCGTCCTTAGAATAGAAACTGATTTGTAAAACCTTCTTTCAATAATCGTCGTGTACGACAGTCGGAATAATTTTTCCGGGTTCCGCGATTTTCAAACAAAAACCTTGGAATTTAATTATTTTTCTTCCACTCCGACATTCGCGTATACAAAGAGTTCACAGAGGTCAAATTGACTTTTTTCGAAATCAATCGTTTTACATGATCTTTAAAATCGGAAACATATATTAAGAATGCAGGTTTTTCGGATAACATTAATAAAAAACGTTAAATCCGCATGCAAATAATGTGCGTTTTTAAACTCCTCCTTGTCGGTAGGCATAGGAAAATAATAAAAAAAAAAAGTATATAAATATATTTATCACCATATGTATTTATTTATCAACCTTTATATATATTTATCACCCTTTTTATATATTTATCACTCTTTATACATATAATAAGGGATTTTATTTATCGCGTATCCTACTCGATCACAGGGTAAAAATAATTTAAACTTTTTTTTTTTTTTTTATAACTTTCTGTTCAATCTCGTTTTCCCGATATTAGCCGTGCAGTATATTTCGAGTTCATTTCTTGTACTATTCGTTTGGGTTGTTGATCTTATCGATACCGTACTTTTTTTGTTTTGCCGATTTATTTGTTTATAAATGTTAACTCGCTATTGCGCCGTATCCTATTGAATATTACACTTTAAGTGTACCCGCCAATAAATTCATTATTGACAATAATAGTTATGCATGTGATTAGCGGCATCGTAAAAAACATTTGGCTACCGGTTAATAGTGTAAATAATTGCTCGTATTTTACACATGTGTTTTGACTAAAAAATTCGACAAATAAAGATTTATGTATTGCAAACGGACGATAAAATTATGTTACACATTAAAAAAACACCATATGCTCTATACTACGAAAAATACGTCAAACGTTTTATTGACTTTAGAAATATACGTGTTCCCCCCGATATCCTCTTGTACGAGACACAAGAGAAGAATAACTTTTTAAAAAATTTATAAAGAATCGTAATATCAATATTTTTCTATTTCGCATTGCTGAAAAATATCGGTCCAGTAGAGTTAGTCATGCGAAAGTTACACATATTTATGTAATTGTTTTGCCGTAATACATGAGAATACTGTAAGAACGTGATTACAGAAATGAATGTTTGAGGAAGAAGAGGTGGTAGAGAGGAAGTCCAAAATAAGAGATGTAATCGAATGCGATATGAGGACGGCCGATGTGAGCGTAAACGATGTGGAAGATGGTGTCAAGTGTAAGTTTAGGGTAAGAGTGGCCGACCCCAAGTAGTCGGGATTAAGGCGAGGAATAAGAAGAATGTAAAGAGTTTTTCTGTAATACATATATATTATTATATATATATGTGTATTATATATCAATGTATTTGTATTATATACATAACGGCAAAACTAATACCTTATCAGCGTCGCGTCTGAGCCATGACGAATGTTAACGATGAGAGAGCGAATTATGCGCACTGGTATTTAGAAATTGAAATTCGTTATTTTTTCGGGGCGTGGTGCGACGCGTTGGATCGTCGAGTCTCCGCCTAAGCTCCGGCGTTTAGCTGCGCTGTTCCTGTCGCTGACCGTACAGTTCGGGTTTGACGGTAACACGCTGGCGTTGCTCGTATCGCGTGGGCCGTGTCGGTCGGCGCGCCACTAGGTCGACGCCAGTAATTTTCTAATGGGCCGTCCAACCAAACGGATACGGTGAGTGTCGTTGGGCAAGTGTTTTTCAACTGGTGTTTACTAGACGCGACAACTGTTGTGTGCGCCACGCAACCGCTACGTTTTGGATTTTACCATTTGTTTCTCGACAATTTTTTCAATGCCGACCGGTGGTCGTAAACGTGTCAAAAAAATATCAAGTATTTTTGTTTTTTACATTTTTAATCGATTGCATTTAGGCACGCCGTGTACGCTTACCGAGTTTTCTATGCATTCGAAAGGTACCGGGGGAATTTTCCGTCAATTGATCGATTTGTGCTGCGTCGAAACGGAAATGCGGATCGCTCGCCACAAACGCTCTGGCGCAGGGACCGCACTGCCGCAGATCTTATAGCGTCCGTTTTGCTGGAGTCTTACGCGCCTCTCGTTCGATGTATTAAAGGTCGCGGGACTGCTGATATCGAGATGTTTTGCACGGTCGCTCAAAAGTCTGGCGATTTTTAACACTTATATTTTTCTACGCGTTCAATTTTTAAACGTTATCTGTTCGGTGTTTCAGAACGTTGAAAGTATTCAATCGTCCAGCAACACATTGTGCTGATAACGGCTGTTATTTTTCGTATTTCTTTCCCCGTTTGTCGTCGTCGCGCTCTGTTCGCACGTTAAAAGATCGTACGTCGTATAACCGCTGTTCGATGTGATAAAAACTTGCCGGTAATAAAACCGATACGCTCGCGATAATAACGACGTTCGGTAATTTGTAACGGTCTAACAACGGCGAGTAGTTGTTGAAAAACAACCATGTGTTTATACGCGACACGTATATCTAGTGTTTCTCTATGGAAATGGCGTACACGTTCAACGAGTATATATCAACACGCATTGCGTTATTTGTAGTTTTGTTTTCACACGCGGCTGATTTACGCGTTGACGATTTTAACGCGCAACACACAACTAAACGTTCGACCGTCTGTCAGGTACAGTGTGTACGAATAGCGCGAATGTACAGTATGTATGTAGAGCGCGTATTCAATTCACCGACAGTGTTGATTCGGTGTGTTCTATTTTGAAAAATTATTTTTTCAATACGACGTTTTTGTTTTTAGAATACGAGTCGGTAGGTTTCCCGGAGAAATTACCATCGGCACCACCATTGTCGTTGACGACGACACCGTTGTGAAATCGAAGCAAAATGTCCGACGGGCACGTGTGTCTTTCGAGTCGCCTCGAGTGAGGGCCAGCGACGGTGAACTGTTGTTTCGTTAATGAACGACGTTTGCGATCATCGCAAGAAAATCAACGACGCGGTCCAAACGGCCGGTGCGGAGAGTGACTTCGGCGGCGGAGAACGCGTGCGAACGTCGAGAAACGCAGACGTCGCGTATCAGTACGTGGCGTGCACGGCGATTTTGTTCGGGTCGCTCGTGCTGGCCGCCTACCTGGTGGGCGGGTACGCTTCGCGTCGAAACGCACTCGAGACCGTGAGACTGTTGAGAAATCCGGCGCCCGTCCGAGTGGTGAACGCGTCCACCCGAGATTTTTGCGCGGTAATCTCCAAGGAGCTGTTCTCTTTGGAGAGGATGGGCTACGTGGATCCCGACAGGCGGGTTTCGAGACTGGCGGCTCTGGACGCGACGGCCGACGACGTGCACTACGTGATAATGAACACGACGTTCGTGCCATGGCTGTTGCCGTGCTCTTTGGAATCGGCTCTGGCAGCCGTCGGCAGTAACGGCCGGGTCAACGTGTTCTTGGTGTACGGAGTCCGAGTCGTACACAGGCATCCTCAACGGAGATCGGTCAGTGTAACATAATAGAAAATAGAAAATATAATAAATAATATAAAATAAAAATTGATTACTTGTGGTTAATTAATTAAGTAAAATTAAAACTATAATAAAAATATTATTAATTTAAAAAACTAAAAAATATTAAACTCAAAGCCACAAAAAATTAATGAAAAGTCGCGGATACGTATTTCGGAAACAATGTTACCATTATCAACGCTATGTGTCATTATGTGTTTAGCTTTTTAAATTAATAATATTTTTAATATAGTTTTAATTTTACTTAAATAATATAAAATACATTTTAATATCGATACTTTTTTTGGGGTGTTACGACCGCCGGGGCGATTTATTCCGCTGCTACCCCGTCGGATAGTCAAACCGATGTAAGAATCACCTGAAGGAATGATGCGGGCTACGTTTAAACAATCGTACTGTAAATTCAATTTTACTCGAATCGGATTTATATTTTTTTTCTTCGCGTTAAATTAAAATATAATTTCAAACGGAAATGTCGCGTACAATAACAAGCGACTTTAATTTCAATGTCAATTGTTTATCAAAACTTTACGAATGTAGAGAAGATTGATATTTCCGTTTAACATTTCGGAAAACCTCGCCTATCACTTTTGGTATTTCGATATCGCTTTATTAAAATTTTTATCCTTCTTAGTCACACACGACGAATTGAAATTTAATAATAAAAATTATTCTTTTTCGTCAAATGCGTGCTAAAAAGAATGTCCATCAATTTTTTACCGGACCAATCGTCGTTTTATACATTTTTTTGAGTTTAAGTTCATTTTAGTTTACACACAGATTCGATATAAATAACAACCATATATACATTGCATTGTATATCATATATAGTATATTATATTATTTATTATATAATATTTATATGTATAAATAATGTATTTTTTTCGTAAATAATGTAATAATAAGAACGCCTTTAATGTTTTTTTTTCTCATTCGGTTAGGTGAGTTTGTCGGAAAGCCTGGAAATACTGTCGGCCGGTTATGGAAACCGATTGAACGTGCACAATGTGAGCTTGGAGGAGTGCTTGGAGTGTTCGCCGTTCCGAGAAGAAAACGTGCGGCGACCGGACATGGCCAAATTTATGGTCGAGCTAGTGCTGTTGTGGCAGTTTGGAGGCACGATTCTCGACCCCGGCGTAGTGACTGTCCAGAGGAACATCCGCAGAGTATCTCGCGGTGCCGTGGAATTCGACGATCACGTGATAAGATCGCCGACCGCTTGTCACGGGTTCGTGTACAGCGCCATGTTGTGCGCAAAGAGTTTCGCGCTCAGCGCTGCCGACCAACCGTTTGAACGGAAAACCAGACGACGTATTCTCGACAAGACCGTCGAGGTGTACCGCTATTCCGCCAGAGACGCACGACCTCTAGAGGAAGGGGTGGTGTGCAAGAACGGAGTAGTGGCGAATTTCTGTTGTTACGTAGAAGCCGATCGCATAGCCGATTACGAAAAATCATACGTACACGGCTTTTGCCCCGCGACCGGCGACATTCCTTTTTTCAGGCCCGACCAACTGGTGGTCACCTAAACGTGATTTTTTATTCGTATTATGACCCCCTCCAATAATACAAATGACCCTCCACAAACCGATCATTTAAACTATTTTATATTTTTGTAATTTTTTTTTGTTTTGTTTCTCGTACTTATTGCCGCCGCAACATCAGTACCCAACGTGTACACTACTCAAAAACGGTTTATACGAAAAAGAAAAAATCGCAAATTTACGTTTTTGTTAGAAACGTTCCATGTTCTTAGAAGCTCAAATCGTTATTATTGTTCGTTAAGAAGATATTATTATTATCAGTATTTTTTTGTATTATTTAATTTTATAATATATGTGCGGCCGTGTTTTATTAAATGGAATTTATTTTTGTTTTCAATTCGATGGTATGCAATTTATAGTTTTATATACAATTAAATGTAATTCATGTACTATTGGTGGAGGAAATGTGTCAAAAAAAAAAAATCATTTGAAAACTCGGGCTCAAATACAGGTTAAAATCGGTAAAATCAATAACTTCTTCGGGTCGAAGCTAAAAAAAAAAAATGTAAGGTAGACGAATGGTATACAATATACTGTGTAGTAACGAAAGCGACGATTGGAAAAGAAAAATTAGCCAAGTGGTTGGAGGTACAGAGTGGTAGTGTGTACAGGCAGATTGTGGATACAGACTGGTTGGCCCGTACACGCCCGTTATCTGTATTCGATTTAACCGACGACTTTTGATCCGATCAGGGGGTTTACTTTTGAATCGTCCGTTGACAAACGTATACGTTCAGATTTTATTTTATGTAGGCTTATATGGGAAACGTTGTTTATGAACACGTTCGGAACTTATGAAACATTGAACGACTGTTTAGAACAACAGAAAACGTTCGTTCATATCGGATGTTGGGAACCACCCGATAGCGAACGGTGGGTCGAACAAACAGTCATTTATAAAAATAGAAAGGTTTCAACATATTTCCTGTGGATAGAGGATAAGAATACTTTCACGGCCCCTCAGCCAGTCGTAAGAGGCGATTAATGAGGTTGTGTCAGGTCGACAGCCGGCGTAAAAATCTTTGTCAAAAAAGTAAAAGGAATCCTGAACAAAACTTAGGCAGATTGTCCCATCTCGGATGTACGCGGGGACAATAGAAAGTAGTTAAAAACGGAGAAGGCCTAAGGAATAAGTGTTTGATACCAGCCTGACAACTTATGCGGTAGCTATTTCACCAGTCATGTGTACAGGTCTACCCAACGCTTGTAGTGTTAACAGTGTAGGGACATCACCACTTAACTCTAGGCTGGACTCGTGTATAAGGGAAAAAGATAAATACAAAGTAAGAATAGATACTTGGAATGTTGGAACATTAACTGGTAGAAGTAGAGAATTAGTAGAAGTATTGAAGACGAGAAAAGTTAACATTTGTTGTGTGCAGGAAACTAAGTGGAAAGGAGAGAAATCAAGGGAAATTGAAGTGCCAGTAGAAGTATAGAAAATATAAAGCGGTGTTGGCATAAGGTGGTTGAATGGAAATTTTAAATAAAATCTTATTAGAAGGGAAAATACCAAATGAATGGTGGAATAGTATTGTGGTGCCGGTATTTAAAGGTATAGGTGACATACAGGAGTGTGGAAATTATAGAGGCATAAAGCTTATGAGTCATAGTATGAAAATTTGGTAAAAGGTAATAGATAACAGAATAAGAAATGAGACATCGGTACCTAAAAATCAGTTTGGATTTATGCCTGGTAAGTCAACAATGAAGCCAGTATTTTGTGTTAGGCAACTTATAGAAAAGTTTAGGGAAAAGAAGAAAAAGCTGTGTATGGTATTTATAGATTTGGATGTACGATGGCACTTGTACCAGGGTAAAAAGCGTAGGAAGAGTATGAGAAGGTTTTCGGGTAAGAGTTGGAGTGAACCAAGATTTTGCTTTAAGTCCTTACTTATTCTCTATAATGATGGATGAAATTACTAGAGAAATACAAGAAGAGGTGTCGTTAATAGGAGAAAATAGAGAGGAAATTAATCAATGGCTAGAGGTGTGGAGATCAGCTCTTGAAGAAAAGGGTTTAAGAATAAGTAGAAGTAAAACAGAGTATATAGAGTACGAGTTTGACAAGTAGTCTATTAACCTATAGAAAATTTAATTTTACATAACATTTGCAAGTGGGATTTTTATTGGTCTGCAACAACAACGTGCTTTGCCACTTGTATAAAGACTAGATATAGTAGTAAGGGTAACTACCACATAGGCGAGGTGTCACACCTATAAGATATGATTACAGGACCATAGGTGGAATTTAATTTTAAGTTAATTAATAGTTTAATTAAAATTAATGTGTCGTTATATGTATAATTGATAATAATACCTCGCGGTTTATTAACCACAGATGTGATAATTGAAGTTGTGAGTTGTTGATGTGTATAACATACCGTAGCACGTGTTTAGATTAAGGAACAGGGATAAAATACACACGATTTACTCATGCAATAAAATAAATATTACAGATAAAGTTAATATGGAAATTTAATTTAATTGTTAAAATTGAAAATTAAGTGAAATATAGAATAAAATAGAGCATCAAAAACCATGTCTACAGAAAAAGGCAACAAAAATAAAATAAAATATTTATCCGTACAAGAAACAACAATCATGTGCCCTTTAATACGGTCAATAAAAGAAATCAGATGAAGAGCAAATACCGTTCTAGGGGCACTTACATACATACCGATAAACAATTCGATTTTAATTATATTTATTGACTTTTGTCGCCATATATAGCGGCCAGTGGCAAAAATAATGACCTGTTGACACAGCTGTGTCATAAAAAGATTCAATTACACATTATCTTGTGCAATAAAAAAAAATAAGTAGGTAAAACAAAAATTATAAACTTGTAGATTTTCATCTTCGAATTTGTAACTTTATACCTTTATATGAAAATTATTTTTATAATTTGAATTATTCGTCGTACATATTTAAATTGCCAAAATATATTGCATCAACCTATTAAAGATTTCTGTGATTTTCTGAAAATGATAATCTAGATTTTTGGTTTATATTATTATATCGTCTAAGTAAACAAAAGCTTTTAACTTATTTATGCCAGTTAAAACTTTATTCCTTGGATGTTGAAAAGTGCTGGGGCACCTTTCAAACCAAAAGCATACAAAGAATTTCAAAATGACTTATGTCTGTCGAAAAAGAGGGGTTTTCACGATGCTCAGGTAACATAGAGACTTGATAATAACAATTTACTAGATCAAGAGTACTATAATAACGAAATTTTTTATTGCGATCAAGGATGTCTATGATATTAAGAAAAGGATAGGAATGCCCCAGAGTTACCTGAATTGCACATAAGAAAAACAATTTTGTAATATATATTTTTATTTACTAATTTTATTTATTGATCTAAAAATTTCATCTGCTATGAATATAGGTTACAATATATTATGAATTGTACTTAAATTATACTTAACTTAAATGAAAATGTACATTTATTTTGCAATTAGCAGTTCATACACTTAAATAATATTTTAATTACAAAACTTTATATTTTTTTGAAGGATTTAAGGACATTCTTTTTTTAAACTTTGTTTTAATGAGGTGTTGTGGTTGTAGTCTATATTTAATATAATAATCTTTTATTATCATATACTGTTCCCCTTTTCTGTAAATTTTTCATTCATCCATAGGTTCATTCATTCATTATGAATTCTTGTTTTTATTTCTTCATCTATTTCTTTCATCTTTGCCTCAAACTTTTTCTTTTCACAAATCCGACAACGTATCTTATTCTTTTCAAATTTTGCACTACATTCATTGCAAAATGGATGATAACATTTATCAAAACAGTTTATTTTTAATACATCCTTACAACAGTAATTACATTCCTCTGTAAATAAAATATAAATTAATCAACTCAAATTAAAAATATTTCGACGATACGTCAAAGGATTTAAAATGTATTAGTAAAAAACTAATAAACTAATAAATTTAGGTGAACAATCAATTTGAAAATATATTAAACAATTTATACTTACGTAATTTCATTCCTATAATGAAATAAAAAAAAATTTTGACAATTACTAAACAATAAAACTAATGTAAATGTGTGTAAGGTGGTTAATATTTAAGAATTTTATTATGTATTCTTAAATAATATTAACTTAATATTCAATAACAAAACCTATAAAAGGAGAACCAATATATGAGAATTTCGTTGTAAATATATTCAATTAATTTTACTAAATGTTTGTGTTCAGCAGTATTGAGGTAATATAAATAAAATATTATCTAGATTAGATACAAATATTTCAGTAAAAATGTATCCGGACGAGATAATAAAATAAATTAAAAGGTATCGAAATATAGAATTTGATCAGTTTTAAATGTTACAGAATTTAACTCAGAAATAATTGAAAACAAAAAAATACCCAGCATAGTGGGGTCGCAGCACAGTGGTGATGTGGCATAGTTGGATCAAGTATAATGATTACTGATAGTGATTAAAATCACTATAAAAAAAAAACGCTTCGATGCAAATTTTTAGATAGTGTTTAATTTTAAAAAATTGATGGATTATTCCAAATGCTACATGATCTGCTAGTTCCTTATTAATATCCTGATTAAGATAAAGTATGTCGAATGAAAAAGGGATTATTAAGAAATATTATTTATTATAAAAAAATTGTGTTGATCTATACACTTTTCAATAAGTTATAGCATTATAAAGTTAAAAATGTAAAAAATAAAATCGAGAATTTTCACACAAAAATAGCATTTGGTAGCCATTTTCACCACGAAGAAAAGTCCAGAGGTCAATTTTTATTTTTTTTTAATTAAAGTACATTACATTAGCTTAATTTAAGATATATATAAAAGTGTCAGACCTTCCGGAACATTTTCATATTGATATGTTTATTTTTGATAAAGTTACGGCAGTTTGAGTAAAAAAAATTGAAAAAATTTCGAAAATTAGCATAAATTTATTTTATTTTATAATATTTTATTTAAATTTATAATTTTTTTGGAGGTTTCCCCCATTTACGGGGAACGATGTAGAATTTTCGCAACTTTTAAAGTCATTTCAATATCTATATTAAAAAGAAGAGACATTTGATAAATTACATTTTCAATTTTGTTATTGAAAATTAATTAATTTATGAATGTCAGAATAATCAAATTAAATAAATTAATAAAAATCTAGATATTCTCAATACTGCTACTAAAATTTAATTTGATATTTTGTTATAATACTAAATTGAGAATATTCTAATAATTATAAATCAATAGAATTAAAATAGAATATTACCTGTGAGTACTTCTGCGTTACATCCTTTTATTGGACATTTAGAAATTTTTGATTTTATGAAATATTTTATACAGTCTTCGCAATGTTTATGTCGGCAAAGAAACAAGGTATCTAGTGTCTTCATTTGATTACATTTTAGGCATTTTCCTTTTAAATGTATATGCAGTATTAACTTTAAGCAATGAATAATTTTACAATATATTCATGATAAATAATTAATTTTAATAACAAACATATTACATAAATTTATAATTGATTGAGAGCTCTTAATAAAATGCCAAAATTATTACATGTAATATGATAAACATTTTTTTGAAAAAAGAGAAAAGAAAAACAATTTTTATAACACGCTTTTAAATTTTAAATGAAATAAAACTCAATAAAAAAAACCCAGCACAGTGGGGTCGCGGCATAGTGGGGACGTTGCATAGTCCAGTATAGATTTAATCTGACAGTGATTAAAATCACTATAATAAGAAACGCTTTGATGCAAATCTGTAGATAGTGTATTCTATATAGTGATTCTAAGAAATTGATAGATAATTACAAAAGCAACATCAACTTCTATTTCTTTAATTATACCCAGATTAGAAATTCTTTTAATTATATATTATATCGCACCCCTAGATCTAAACTGTTGTAATTCAAAAAACCTCTTTTTACACAATTCAAGAATAACTAATATTCGAGAACTCGCTTGATTTATTCAATTTTCAAAAAAAGAATACGCAATGTAGGATGTTCTGAAATATCATGGTAGTTATAGGTAATAGAATAAGAAAACCTAAAATTGAAATTTTTTTGGATATTTCCCCCATTTGCGGGGAACGAGGGAAATTTTTTCAATTTTTAAGGGTAATGTCTTCAACTAGATACAATTTGTGATTTTTTGACGTATTGTTGAAAGAAATCGGTCCAGTTAGAACTGAGAAAAAGTAGTAACAGACACAAAAAAAAAAAACACATCATGATAAAATTAATATCTTCTCAGCTTCGCATCGAAGCTATAAATACATTTTTAATACATTTTAAATAATTCAATTTAGGTTTTTTTGTCAATGCTTAAGTTGAATTATTACGTAAATTTGTGAAAAATATAATATTATATTAACGATGAACATATTTTTTATCATATAGGTTCGGTATTTTTCTACTACATTTTATTTATTTTGAGAATCAGTAGAAGTATTTTATGTGCAATAATCTATGAATAAGTATTATTAATGTACAGCATATTTTTAAATGTCAATTTAAATACATTTTTGCTAACCATATTTTATTTTATTAAAAATAAAATTAATTATTTTAAATAAACGTAATTAATTTAGTAATAAAAACTTTCCCTGTGGATAGGGCATAAGAATACTTCCACGGCCCCTGTGCCAGACGTAAGAGGCGACTAATGAGGTTGTGTTAAGTTAACAGCCGACGTAAAAATCTTTGTCAAAAAAGTATGAGGAATCCTGAACAAAACTTAGGCGGATTGTTCCATCTCGGATGTACGAATGAACAATCGAAAGTAGTTAAAGATGGAGTAAATTGTTTGATACCAGCCATTAGAGATAGAGAATTAGTAGAAGTATTGAAGAGGAGAAAAGTTAACATTTGTGTGTGCAGGAAACTAAGTGGAAAGGAGAGTAATCAAGGGAAATATGCGAGGGTTATAAAATAATATACTCAGGTAAGTGTAGTACAAAGAATGGTGTAGGGATAATATAGGATGAGGAGAAGAAACGTAAAGTATTAGAAGTAGCTAGTAAAAATGACAGAATTATGGTCGTAAAATTCATATCCGAAGAAAAAGTGCTGAATGTAATAAGTGCCTATGCACCACAAGTGGGATGTGATGAAATAGACAAGGAAGTGTTTTGGAGAGAAATGGATGAGGTGATGCAAGGGGTACCTGGCAATGAGGATGCGATGATAGACGGAGATATGAATGGACATGTAGGTAATGAGAGGACAGGATATGAAAGAGTACATGGAGGGTTTTAGTGGAATGAATGAGGCTGGAGAAAGAATACTGAATTTGGCATAATGATCTTGCTGTGGTTAATACTTATTTTAATAAGAGGAAAGAACATTATATAACATATAAGAGTGGGAGGAATAGATATTTTTATGTGGAAGAGAGGGAGAGTAAAAGATTGTAAAGTTATACCAGGTGAAAGTGTAATTACACAACATAGACTGATATTACAATGGTAATAGTTGTGGTGTACCGGAAAAAGAATAAATATAAATAGAAGAAACACAGGGGAAAAATCGAAGATCCGGTGGTCGAAATTGAAAGAGGAAAATGAAAAAAGAGTTTGTAAAGACGGTAAAAGAGAGGTCAGTGTGGAATGTCGAGGGAGACATGAATGATGTGTGGAAAAGATGCTAGTTGTGTAATGAATAATGCAAAGTAGATTTTTGGTGAGAGTAATAGTAGAGTGCCAGGGAACAAGGAAACCTGGTGGTGGGATGAAGACGTTAAAAAAATCATAGAAAGTAAGAAAAAGCAATTTAAAGTATGGCAGAGGATCAAAAGGAGAGAAGACTGGATGGAGTATAAACGCTTGTGCAAAGAAGCCAAATGTGCAGTAAGTAAGGCGAAGTTTAAGAGGTATGATGAATTGTATGATAAGCTAGGAACAAAGGAAGGTGAGAAAGAAATCTATATACTTGCAGAAATAAGAGAGAAAAGGTCTAAAGATTATCATTATATATTGTTTATAAAAAGTGTTGATAATAACGTACTCTCAAGTGATGATGATGTGAGAAAAAGGTGGAAAGAGTATTTTGAAAAATTATTGAATGAGAAGTACTCAAAAGAGACATTTGAGGATATCTCATGTAATGAGGGACTGATAGATTTAATTAGTGAGAAAGAGATATGGGAAGCTGCAGCATCCATGAATAAGAATAATGCAGTAGGACCAGATGAAGTATCAGTAGAAGTATGGAAAATATAAAGCGGTGTTGGCATACGGCAGTTGAAGGTACATTTAAATATTTAAAATCTTATTAGAAAGGAAAATAAATGGAGGAATTTTAAATGGAAAAAGGTTTTAAGTTTATATAAAAAATAAAGTTATTTGATTTAGGAAGTATCTTTTTCATTGATGCTACAATAAAAAAGAATAAAGCAGTAGGACCAGATGAATAAGTAGAAGTAAAACAGAGTATATAGAGTACGAGTTTGACAAATGAGAACATGAAGTAGGTGAAATGAGGAGGTCATTGACAATAGGCGAGGACGTGATTGGAGAGGTGGAGAGTTTTAAGTATTTAGGTTGGGTTTGATGAGGATGTAAGACATAGGATTAAGTGCGAGTGGTTGAAGTGGAGAGAAGCGTCTGGCGTCAAATGCGATAAAAGAATTCCAATGAGGCTGAAAGGTAAATTCTACAAGACTGTATTAAGGCCTGCTATAGTGCATGGTTCAGAGTGTTGGGTGGTTGATAAGAAAGTAGAGCAGAGATGAGAATGCTTGGATGGATGAGTGGAGTGACTAGAAAAAATAGAATAAGGAACGAGCATATAAGAGGGAGTTGACACGGTATTTTTAAAAAAAGGTTATTAATATTAATAACAAATGTAACACCGTTATGTTCTGACTGTGGAGTCAATTTATTTTGTTTAAGTTATAAAAATATTATAATTTACAATATACAATATACAAGTGACGGGTAAACCGTAAGGTGCGGATATAACTCGACGACACGTATGGCGGATATAAGTCACAGGTGAACTGGTTTACATAGTCGCCGACGTGTCTCGCGGTGCTAAACCCCCTGACCTGTCCTATCTACCGACCGCCGGATAAGACAAACTTGTGTTATCGTCAACACTAATGAGTGCGACGGTGGACAGCTGATAATCACGACCGGATAACGTGCTGATTCACGGTAAATGAATAGTGCGCTATTACGGGTCGTGTCAGAGTATAGGTGTAGCGTCAATCGTGGATAAGAGGAGAGAAAATAGACTAATATGGTTTGGTCATGTTATGAGGAGAAAAGAATCGGAAGTTGTAAGAACAGTTATAGAAATGAATGTTGATGGAAGAAGCGGTAGAGGAATATTAAAAAAGAATATCGCTATTAAATGCGATATGAGGACAGCTGATGTGAACAGAGATGATGTGGGAGATCATGTCAAGTGGAAGTTTAGGATAAGGGCGGCCGAAGATGAAAGTAGTTTGAGTAGAGAAAGTTTTTAAGTTTATATTAAAAATAAAGTTATTTGATTTAGAAAGTTTGAAATCACCAAAAAGTAATAAAGTAGAATAAAGATAAGATAACAGTTTGTTGAATTTGTTGAAGAATTCATCATAGGTAGTATTTTTTAGTATTTTTGGAGTTTTTTTTAACTAACGTAAAAAGATATCAGAGAAGAATTTGTTTATTAAGTTCAATTTATATCGAAGTAAGAAAGATAAATTTTTAACAGAGTTATCACAAACTAATTTGGATATTTCTTTACTAGATAAAGAAATATCATTGCAAGATGATGTTTACATAACCATTTATAAAGTAATCTAGATAAGATAAAACAAAATATTATTTTTATCAGATTCATAATATTGGCAATGTAATATTCCCAACACTTCTTCTAAATTTTAATTTAAGATTTTGTTATAATAAATAGTTTAGAATATTGTATTTATTTATTAATAAGTAAAATATATATTAGATACCTTTGGGTAATTTCGAATTACAGTCTTCTATTTCACACTGATTAATTTCACATGTATAAGCGTTTTGTCTTAGTTTCATTAAACAATTTATACAATACTTATGTTTACAATCATACAATGCTTCTACTGGAATCGTGCTATATTTACAATTGTCGCATTGACCTTTAACATTTATTTGAAGTATTAATTATTATAGCAATCTATTTTTGCATTGTGTCTTAGGAGAGATTTCTTCAAATAGTATTATTTTAGCAAATTAAGTGTTATCGGACAAAATCATATAAGTAAATAATAGATATCTATTAGAGCAGACTGAATATGAAAACAGGAAAACTTATAAAAAATGAAAATAGAGTGAAATTTTTAGCATAGATACCCCCCAGAAATTTAATAAAATAATAAGAATTATTATATAAATTTATTTTTTGAAGAGAGGAAATATAAATAATATATTGTTAGGTGGTTATAAATTATAATGTCATAAAAATATAAGTTAATGTATTCTAGTATTCTTTTGGATTGAATTTTTAAAATGTACATGGTAATTTCATTGTATATGTACTTAATATTTCATTTTAACTTCAATTAGAAGTTGAAAAGAGATTTATTCACCATGTGATTTTTATCTATCCTGGGTAGCAATATTTGTACATAAATGGTGCTAGAACCCCTCCTACGTTCCATAAAAGCTCTACGGTAACCTAATTGTGTAAATATCTAAGACGGACCCTAATTATTTCTTAGCTGTGTCAAAATGTTCTAACAGTATCTTTAAACTGAACGTGTCTAAAAATACATAAAAGTTACCCTTGGTCTGCGTAATTAATGAAATAATTTTAGTACGGGCCAATAGTACCACGACAAATTAATTAGCAGTAGTGCCCATTTCGGGCATTGATAGAAGTCAACCAGTTCTGGTAAATGTCGTGAAACCACGTTCGCTTTTGGCGCCTTCTGGGGTCACCAGGGATAGAGTGGATAGATAGGTCAGAGACCAGAGGGTTTTGATGCGTTAATTTTTTGAAGTGAAAAGGCGTGTAGAATTTTTTGGTAGATTTTTGGACTGTTGAGATGTAAAGATCATTATAGAGGGTATCATTTGAGACGTAAAATGAAGCATTTGTTTGAGAAGATTTGTATTATATTGATTGATAAAATTGGATGATTTGGTGGATCCCCAAAGCTGGATTTCGTATGGCCAAATTGGTTTGAGCAGTAGTTTGTATATAAGAAGTTTATTTTTGAAATTGAGGTGTTGTGATGTGTGAAGGAAACATAATTGACGGGAGTGGTTGTTTAAGAAGAGACGTTTTGGATAGATTTTAACATTTATTTTTTAAATATACATTTTACTTATTCAAAAATAGTATTCAAAAACTGACGAATTCAATTTCATGGATTAAGTTCATCGAGCCCCACTTTGTCAAAGACCTGTGTCATGTTCAAAAATGCGCTCGTGTATACTTTCTTTTTTTTCTAGTGTGTAGGAAATTTAGTTGACATAATGGTGTACTCGGAGAATAGTGTAATGGTTGTGACGAAAACCAAATTGTGTGTTTGGGAGGTTGGATTCAAAGGCAGAGAGTGTACGTTTTAAAATATTTTTTTTTTAACAAAGTTTCAGATTGGTTTGGTTTTCAAGGGTATATCTGAATTTGGTCCAGTCTATTCGACCTTGGATAAGACTGGGTTGTTTTGGTTTATTTAAGGGAACAGTATCAATCGTTAGAGAGACGGATGAGTGTTTATAGCACAGAGCGTTAAAATTAGATGTTAGGATATGTCGACTATTAGGTATTTTAGACACAATAAAATCAAGAATATCGGGTCTTTTCCTAGGTGAGGTAGTAGATGAGAAAGGAGTATGAATTTTGTAGTTTTTTGTTTGAGTAAAGAGATTGAGTGTTTTCCCGAGGATTTTTCGTACGAAAGCCCCAGTGTGTGTTTTTTGTATTGATGCCGCCTCCTATTATGAATTTTTGTCCAAGTGTAAGGAAAAAGTTATTAAATTGAGCTAGAGTGATGACATGACGCGGGGGACAATATACTGCATCCATTGGGATGTTGTTTAGAGTTATAGAAATACCAGAAGCTTGTATAAGATCTGTTTTGTATTGTGGGAGTGGATAGAATAGTAGTGAGGCTCTAACTATTATGGCTACTCCAGCGTTTGCTGTGCCATCTGGTAAAAGTTTAAAAACAAAAAAATTAGTATTATCAAATTTTTGAAAGTTCCGCATAGTTTTTGCTCTAAATAGTAATTATATAGATTTTATGACAAAAATTAATTTTTAAAATAAATATAACATTATTATTATCTTTGTAGGTTAAACAACCGTAACTAATAATATTAAACATAACAAAAATTAAACAGACAAATTCAGCTATTTTCTGTTTTAAATAATGAGTTTACTGAATTATAATATTCTATTGGCACATGTTAATATTTTGGTATAAGTGTTAAATTTGTTAAATTACAGTTTATTTTTATATGTAATACAACAATGTACGGAGGTGAAAATTCAAATTTCAAAAATTTGTATTTTAAGAGCCACTAAAATCAACATGATATATTGTTTTCAGTGGTATTTTATGAAAAGAATGTTACCAAACTAATAAACGTAATTGAATTATTCTTAATTAAAGTGTACTTACCTGATACACCCGACATTTCTATAATGAAACAAAACATATAATAATGAGGAATACAAATTGATTAAAATTTTTATAGTACAAAATTTTTCTCCATAATTATTGAAAATATAAAAAATGGTGTTTCAAATTACAAGTTTTTATTACAACGCAATGCATTTAATTATGTTATGTATTGTTTAATAATGTCCATAAAGTCATGTTAAAAAAATAACTTCAAAAATCCCAGCATAGTGGAGTCGTGGTACAATACGGACGTGGCGTAGTTGGGACCAGTATAGATTTAATCTAACTGTGATTAAAATTACTAACATAATAAATATAGTTAAAAAAAACACGATATTAAAGCACATCGAGCTAAAAAGTTAAAAATAATTTTTAAAATAAGCCTAAAACAATTATGAACGAAAAATACTAGTATTATTGTGATAAAAGCGTCGGTCGCTAAATATACGAAAAATATGGCACAAAGCACCCACGCTTTTATCACAATAATACTAGTATTTTTCGTTCATTATTGTTTTAAGCTCATTTTAAAAATTAATTTTAACTTTTTATTTCGATGTGCTTTAAAAGCGTGTTTTTTCAGTTTCTTTAAACTATATTTATTTTTTACTTTTTAGTTTCATGTTATGATAGTAGTTATCAATATCACGGTTGTAATGGGTAAGGGGAAATCAGGGATCGATTCCGGGGAGGGAGTCTTAGAAAAGGCTACCATATCTAAGGAAAGCAGCAGGCGCGTAAATTACCCACTCCCGGAACATTGATGTAGTGACGAAAAATGACGGTACGGGAATCATCCCCCGTAATTGAAATGAGTACACTTTATATCTATTAATGAGAATAAAGCATGTTAATATATAAATTTTAATAGTAATTCGAATATATATATACAGGGTGATTTTTTTATCATAACCCACTCAATTACTTACAGAATAATAATAATTAAAAATTTTTTTTTTATTATTATCTTTAGTTACACATTATTCTTGAATTTTTAACTATGTAATACTTTTTAAGTTCATCCCTTATGCCTTGGAGGGGGGTCAACTTTGTTTTTTTTAATGGTAACACATATTTTTAATTTAATAAAATGTTTGAGTTTTTAATTCAATAGTAAATGGCATTTGAATTTTTAATATAACTTTATTCATTTATTAGATATAAACATTTAAAGTTTCAAATTTTTGAGTTAATATATAGGTATAATACACAAGGGATTACAAATACAGGTAGTTAATTGTTTTTTTATGATATTTATATCACAGTCACGGATTGTTTATTATCAATTATGACTATCAATAGATTTAATTTTTGTGTTGTCAGTTAGTGTATTTATAAACTCACAACAATGTACCTTACTATCATTGATAATAACAATGCTGTGTACCTGCTAATATCGATGTCATAAAAAACCAATTAGCTACCTGTATTTGTAATCCCTTGTGTATTATACCTAAATATTAACTCAAAAATTTGAAACTTTAAATGTTTATATCTAATAAACAAATTAAGTTTTATTAAAAATTCAAATGCCATTTATTATTGAATTAAAAACTCAAACATTTTATTAAATTAAAAATATGTGTTACCATTTAAAAAAACAAAGTTGACCCCCCTCCAAGGCATAAGGGATGAACTTAAAAAGTATTACATAGTTAAAAATTCAAGAATAATGTGTAACTAAAGATAATAATAATAAAAAAATTTTTAATTATTATTATTCTGTAAGTAATTGAGTGGGTTATGATAAAAAAATCACCCTGTATATATACACGTAAAGACACTTAAATACGTAAACGTATCATGCACTAGGTATAGCCTTGTTTTATGGGCGAGAGGAACGTTATACCTGAGGTATAGGAATATATAAATATATATACGTAAGACGTATGGCATGCGAGCGGTATTGGTCAGTCAAAATAAAAATTTGTATATACATATAAATATAGAGTTGATGATACGCACGAGTGTACGGTAATGATAACCAAAAATAAATGTATACAAGAATAGTGTTGACGGTGTGTGGTAAGCTTTGCGTGACTTGGGTATAATGCGTTACGACAGTCTAGTCTCAAGGCCATAGACGACGAGATACGCGAAAATAATAACACGTAGCGCGTGGAAAGTTACCAACAACAAACATACATGTGAAACAAATATAAGCGTGTTAAAAATCGCTTTGATGCAAATCTATAGATAGTGTTTAATTTTAAAAAATGGGAGGATTATTTCAAAAGCAACATAAATTCATATTATATTTTTTTACAAGCATCGTATTTTTTTTTTATTAATTTTGATGTCCATTTTCACCATAAAAACAAAATAAAGTCTGAAAATTTTTTTTTCATATAAATGTATCACTTTCAAAAGTTAATTTTTTGTGAAAATGTTGTCATTAAAAATCTCCTCTGTGGGCATGTAAAGGGTCAGATTTGTAAATAAAATATACAAAATACCAGATGTATCTTTAAAAAAAAAAATTACATTGATTTGGTCATTTTTAAAAAATATTTTTAATAGATATCTGTTCGGTGAGAGATGAGAAAAAGTGGTAACAGACACAAAAAAAAACCAAGTACAGTGGGGTCACGGCTCAGTGGGGACGGGTCATAGTTGGGTCAAGTATAATGATATCTGCCAGTGATTTTTAATTACTATCATAAAATACGCTTCGATGGAAATCTGTAGATAGTGATTAATTTTAAAAAATTGTAGGATTATTCTGAAAGCACATGATCTGCTATTTCCTTATTTATATCCTGATTACAAGTTTTATGATTTATAAGTATAATATATGAATAAATTTGTATATATATATATTTATAATATATAAAGAGAAATGATTTTATTAAAAAAAAGTATGTGCAATAAAATAGATATATATTAATAGTATTTATCATAAAAAAATTGTATTGAACCATACATTTTTTAAAAAGTTAATGGATTATAAGGTTAAAAATATAAAAAAGAAATTTTTTACAAAAGTATTTTTTTTTATTAACTGTGATGTCTGTTCCCAAAAAATGTACAATGTATGGATTAATATAATTTTTTTTTATAAATACATGAGGTAATTATCTATTATTTGAAGTATATATTTTTTTAATCTGATTATTCACACAGAGTGGGATCCGTTGCTCAGGCAGCACCTCGTGAATAGATGGGTTGGATTTTGCTATGTTTGGGATAAGAAAAACACACAAACATTTAAAACAAAAGGACCTGGATTTCAGACTTTTTTCATCTTGCCAGGGCAGTCCTTTACCAGCGGGCCCGTTTCTTTGCAAGTAAAGCATGCGCCGGAATGGTCAGCACCCTTACAGGCACCCTGTTCATGCCCATCCATGCCGCCTAAGCCTCCTTGATGCTCTTGGCCAGCAGTCCGGCTTGAGCTCCAGTACCTCTGACTTCCAGGAGTACCGCTCCCGTCTTGGTTCTGCGGGTGCCAGATACAACGACGCCCAGCGCCTGGAGGTCACTGCCTCCATGATCCTTTTCACGATGGTGGAATATTTTTGGTCCTCTTTCAGGGAAAAAATAATAACCGCCTCTATGCGAGGGGCCTTCCCTGAAGCCTGGGATTTGGGCGAAGGTCCGCCACCGTGTTCATTGTTCTGCGTCTGACTACCTTAGAACAACCCAGGATGCATGAGGCCTCCACCGTCCCCGGTTTTGGGGCAGGCTCCTTTTCTGCATCACGTGTTTCCTTCAAGATAACCATCTCTGGTCCGTCCGTTGTATCGTAATATGCTCAATGCTTTGCATTACGCATCTTACAATTATCAATGAAAAATGTATTATCTATATTTTAAATAACTTGTAAACAAACAAATAATTTATCTGTCATAACAAATACAATGTTCAACACAATTTCTTATTATTTATATATATATATGTCAATTTATCAATTGTTAAATATGTTATCTCAATATAATAATCATGTAATGTATAATTAAATATAATAAACTAAAAAGATCACTAAAAGCGCTGACAACAATATCCCTGGATTGGGGGTACTATCATTTTACTATAAAAAGCACTGAAATCCTTTTAGACAACGGAGAGAGAGAGTTCGCTTTCTCTGAATTGGATTAAGAATAAAAAAGAAATAATTATCAGTTACAGTCTTGTGTTGTTGTCGGCTGACTCTTACGCGTTTTATTTATATATGAAAAGAACTTGTTTTAATTATTTATCTTTTGACGAAGTGCGAATTAAATATTTTTAAACATATATAAACATATCGAGATATTTATCAAATAATTTAACAGAAATTTGCAAGAATAAAATAAGTAAGTAATTTTATGTTATCCCAATTATTTGGAGTTAATAAGTTTGAGTAAAGGATGACAAAGCAATAGATCATTTATTAAATTAATATCTGAAAGTGTCAATTTTGACTGGTTGGTTAAAGAAATTATACATAATCACGTTATATGGTATTCGTGAACTGGCTCTGCCGTTCCGTTGCCGAAGTATTCGTTAACTGGCTTCGCCGTTTCGTTGCCTCTTAGTTAAGACATTAGGAACTAACCAGACAAAAGTTTATTACACCTCGAATAGAGGTACTTTGTCTAATATTTTTATATTTACTTGTCTTTGTCGTTCTATTAAGGAAAAAAATTTTTATATAAATCTTTTAAAGTTAAAACAAGTTAATAATATAAGTAATGTTAATAACAGACATCTTGATTGTTTGTTTACAAACGGTAATGTTATGTCAAACTACCCTAGTAGCTCTATAGTTCAAAAGGCTGATATTATCACCCTCCTTTTGATTCAATTATGATGTACCAAATATTATTTATCAGTCCAATAATCTACCAATGTATAACTTTAACAAATGTAATTATAATGATATTTCAAATTTTCTCTCTAATATAAACTTCGATCTAAACTTAGAATACGTTTCACTAGAGGACTCAATAATTAAGTTTTATGAAATAATTAATCACTCTTTCTCTATCTTTGTGCCTAAAATTATAATTAATGAAAATTATTCTCCAATATTGGCT